AGGTTCTCAAATAATGTAATTAAATCAGGTTATAAACATTTTGTTTCTTCTGTATAGATACTCCAGAAATGTTCATAGCTAATGCATTTAAATTTTTAGAACATTAGCTAGTTGGAAGAAATATATTTGCATTAATATTTATTGAGGCAAAATAAAATGTTTACTTTTTTAAACCCAAGCCTAAATTGACTAGTTTGACTGAATTAATTATAGCTTCCGTTTGAATGGAATATGTTTTGAAACAAACTTGAAAACTTTATATTTGACCATCTTTGCTGAATGCATGAAATTGCACCAAACAGTGTTTGAATGTATGAAATGAATTGGATATATTTGATAATTGTGGGAAGCCACCACCCACTCCTAGAAGAATGAAATATTTTGAGGAATATTAAAAGGGCAAAATATTATATTTCCCTAAATGAGAAATAGAGAAACATGTTTTTTGGAGGCAGGAAGCAGACTCACTCTTAATAGCCCCCTCCCCAGCAGATATTTTATGCCCATTAAAAAAAGACTGAGGCAGCCTATCTACAAACTAAAAAGACCTTCAGCTCCAGGATGATGGGATTAAGAAGAACAGGACATGATCCTTCAGGACATAATAGGATTAACCTACTACCATTTAGCTTGCAGAAGACACAGAGCTCATTACATTGCACAATCTCCTAAAAGGCTATTTCAGTCAATGCACCATCTCAGAGCAGTCCAAACTTCAACCAAACTTAGCTCAGACCTAGGATATGTACTTTGCCTATTGAGCCAGTTATGACCCCTACATAATCCCTTCATGGCCACATGGGAGTCTGACAACAGCCAATAAAATACATGTTCTTGCACAGGAATAGGAAGTACAAGTGCAAAGTCCAAGAGACGGTATAACCCTCCGCCCTCCACTCTCAACTCCAGGTGGTCAGCTGCCCAGAATCACACATGCTTGGTGGTTCTGTTCATCATTAAACCCTCTTCCCAATCAGTCTCCACGTTTCCAGTGTCTCTCTGCCAGCTTGGAACTGAACCAGATGGATATTCCGCCTCACAAAATGAATACATTCTACTGGAAAGGCTGATAACTTTCACATTTAAATTCTTCCTGATCAAATTATCATCTTTATAAACATCACATTTAAGATTGTCTCCAAATGATCCAAAACCTAAACAGGAAAAAGAGAAGGAAAGGAATGAAACAGAAATTTTTTTTAAAAAAAGTGAAACTAAAGGACGGTAGCCAATTTCTGAGACAGCATAGAGTAAAATATAAGGAAGACTTCATAAATGGGAAACAGGCAAGTCTTAAAAATCCCAAATCAATCTATCTATCTCTCTCTCTATCTATCTATCTATCTACCTACCTACCTACCTACCTATCTATCTATCTATCTATCTATCTATCTATCTTTTAATATTTTTTTTAACAAATATTGTGTTTTTCTTCAGAAAGCAAGTTCATCTAAGTGCCTGTTACAGAGGGGCACTTAAAAGTCATGAGTATAGGTGACCCCTCATGTGACTTTCTTCTTTTTGTAGTTTTTCACTTTCTGCAGCCCCAGAGGGCTCCAGATTTTATCATAGCAACAGTGCTGAGAGCAGAGGGATTAAATCTTCTCTCTGCCGCCACGCATCACCCTTTCCCTCCCTCCAAGTCACCTTTCCCAAAGCTATGTCTGATCGCGAAAGGAAATCCGGATCCTCTTGCGAGGTGAATAAAATTTGGGAGGGAACACGAAACAGCCTTCCCGTTCCAGTTGTGTGCAGCCAAACTAAAAGCCTCCTATGGCTGCTTTAAATTAAAAACAAAGCGGTGGAGAGACAGGGCTGCAATTTCTACTGAAAAGGCCTCTTTGTTGCAAATCAGTTCAGGGCCTTCCAAATGCACCTTTTGCATTAAATATTTTTAATGACAAATACAAAAAGACAGAAACTAGAGTTTAAAAGCTTTTTTTTTTCCCCCTTCCTTTTTTCGGCTTGAAGGCAAGGAATATTCCGCCACGTAAAAGAGATGCTATGCTGGCATCTCGCACACACTATGGCTGAGACTCCTAATTGCTGTTATTAGGTAGTCCTCAACGTACAACACTTGGTTTAGTGACCATTCAAAGCTATAGCGACTTATGTCACTAAACACCACTAAACACTAAAAAGTGACTTATGACCCTTTTTCACACTTACAATCATTGCATCCCCCCCACCTTCCATGGTCACGTGATCAAAATTCAGATGCTTGGCAACTGACTCCTATTTATGACCATTGCAATGTTCTGGGGTTATGTGATCTCCTTTTGTGACCTTCTGACAAGCAAAGGCAATGGGGAAGCTAGATTCACTTAACAACCGGGCTACTAACTTAACAACTGCAGTGATTCACTGAACAACTGTGGCAAGGAAGATCATAAAATGGGGCAAAACCTACTTAACAACAGAGATTTTGGGCTCAGTTGTGGTCATAAGGTGGTGCAGTGGTTAGAGTGCAGTACTGCAAGCTACTTCTGCTGCAGCCGCTGACTGCTATTTGGCAGTTTGAATCCCACCAGGCTCAAGGTTGACTCAGCCTTCCATCCTTCCGAGGTGGGTAAAATGAGGAGCCAGATTGTTGGGAGCAATAGGCTGACTCTGTAAACCGCTTAGAGGGGGCTGTAAAGCACTGTGAAGCGGTATATAAATCTAAGTCCTATTGCTATTTTATTGGTTTTCTGATCCCCTTTTCCTTTTGAGACAGCTGGTACTTAAAACACACACACACAGCAACAGCACTTAGACTTATATACCGCTTTTATAGTGCTTTACAGCCCTGTCTAAGCGGTTTACAGAGTCAGCCTATTTCCTCCAACAATCTGGGTCCTCGTTTTATCCACCTTGGAAGGATGGAAGGCTGAGTCAACCTTGAGTTGATCAAGATCGAACTCCGGACTGTGGGCAGAATTAGCCTGCGACACTGCACTGTAACCACTGCGCCACCACAGGTCTTACACACATAATGAAAGATTGCACATTTCCCATTACAAAGTTTAAAAAACAACAACACAAGATTTCTTTGAGCGCAACAGGACATTCTTTTGTGTCTGCCTATCTTTATCTAGAAAGGCACCCTTACCTAGTCTATAGATGGTCCTCGACTTACAACCATTCATTCAATGACAGTACAAAGTTACAACAGCGCCAGAAACAATGGCATACAACCTGTACTCATAACTTACAACCATTGTACCGCGGTCATGTGATCGCAATTCAAGCACTTGGGTGATTTCTTCCAAAGAAGGCTCATTGCAGAAGCTCAGTGACCACCATAAAAATTGTCGTACAATTGAGTCCAACTCAACTTACAACCTCAATAACTTACCATGGAATATCCCAGTCCCAAAATGTGGTTGTTAAGTCAAGGATTACTTGTATAATATTTGTGTGCAGACTTTTAGCTCTGTGACCCCACTCAAAGCTTCATTCAGTTGTTAATTGTTAAGTTGGCATGAAGGAAAAACTATCAAATACATGGCAAAGGATAATTTTAAATTTAACTTTAAATACGTTTAAACATGACTGAAAGGAAATGTCTTGGCCCTACCTGTTATTTTTTGGGGGTGCTCCTCAAACCACAACAAACCTTCAAAAGCCAACTGTTTTGTCCAACAGCCTGGGGGAAAAATATCAGCTATATTCCAAGGGTGTTAACCAGCACTGAAGCTCTGTGCATCCCTCTCCAACTTTTTTTAATGCTACGCCCCACAGCTTACTTTTCAGCTATCAGCAAATTTGAATGAAAAATTACATAAGTTCAGATAAGGTGGAAAGCAATGAAAAAGGAGAGAGAAAAAAATCAATTTAAAATGATAGCTTGAATTTCGAGAAGAGATTTTCTTTTAACTGGTCCGCTCTTTCACTGTCCCCATTTCTTCCTAGCCACTTTGTCATGATGTCAGGATTCTGGCAGTTACTCCAATTAAATCATGAGCCTCGAGCCACACTCCCCAAACTAAAAAAGATTTATTTGAAGGTAACATTCTACATCCGGCATTTACCTGGGTGTGGCCAACTCTGAGACACATAATTCACTGTCACCCTTGATCCTGCTTTCCACCCCACCCCTCTGGGTGTATCATCCAATGAAAAACATCCATAGCCAAAAGTCATCAATCATGCTCTCCAATTAGATTTTTGCGCCGCAGAAGCTTCAGTCATCTAATCAGTCTTTGAAGAAAATATGAATGGAATGTACTTTCGATTCCACACTGTCGCCTGCTCTTTGAAACTCCTCCCTCCCTTCTTTCTGTTGTAAACTATAAAGTGTGTATACAAAATGTTTTATGAGTTGACACATGACACTTTCCAGAAAACCCATGGGCACCCATCGATTCACAAAAGACTGTGCCCCCCGCCTCCTAAGCTACCATAAATAAGTAGTGCTCAGCTTACAACAGTTCATTTAGTGACCGTTCAAAGTTACAACGGCACTGAAAAAAGTGACTTGTGACCATTTTTCACACTTACAACCGTTGCAGCGTCACGATCAAAATTCAGACGTGTGGCAACTGACTCATATTTATGACGATTGCAGTGTCCTCGGGTCACGTGATCCCCTTTTGCGACCTTCTGATGAAGCAAAGTCGGTGGGAAAGCCAGATTCACTTAACCGCCATGTTACTAACTTAACGAATGCAATGATTCACTTAATAACGGGGGCAAGAAAAGTCATTGGGCAGACACAGAGTATTTGCTACTGATCTTCTTCAGCCATCCCTGTGTGTTAAACAGATGATGTGCGGCAAGCTGCTGTGCCACACGAATCAGCTGAGCTTGAGAAACCGGACATAAAGCACAGCCTAGAGTCCGGGCAGGCAGGTGGGTCCAATAGCTGATCGTTGGAGCAAACTGAATAGGTTTGCTCCCAGCTGATCCTTGAAGCTACCAGTTCGCCCAAACCAGGCCAAACCAGTAGAATCCCACCCGTGCTGTCCCTTCTCTAGCGCACCATCAACCCACCAAAATGGAGTAATTGGGCCACCTACCTTTCTCAAGGGCTGAGATGCCCATTGAAGGCTGAGCCAGGTCTTCTTTTTTCTCCCACCTGCCTTCATCCGTGTGATAGACTTCGACGGAGGCCAGGGGTCTCTGTCTGGAGTCAACCCCACCAATCACCAACACTTCCTTGCCAAGCATCACGGCTGCTGCCCCAGCCCTTGGGGTGGCCATAGAAGGTAACGCCATCCATTTGTGGGAAACCACGTCCAACATTTCCAGGGTGTCCAATGGCTGGCCTTGCTGGCTGCAGCCCCCCACCACGAAGAGGTGTCCATCCTGATAGGTTGGGCTGCAGTAAACCCGACAGGTAGGCATGGGTGGGAAGGTCTCCCAGAAGAATGATTTGGTGTTGGCTGCTTCCATTTTGCCCCAGGGCCTGGCATCTCAGGAGACAGACATGGCGATTGTCCCTGCAGCGAGTTGGTGCCTCAGCATGGCAGGCTTCTGCATTGGGTCCCCGAAACTGGGAAAGATTCACCTGAAGCAAATCGAAGGGCTTATTTCCTCCACCTTTGCAACTCCACATCCACAATGAGGACCGAGGACGTTGGGAGGAAGTTCTGACTGCCGGGAGAGGCCAGGATGCCCCAAGGAAACAGGCAAAGACTGCCGTGATGACCAAGCATTGGGGGCTCCACAGGAGAAAGAACCATTCTTCTCCAGAATGGCTAGGAATAATTTGAAGGAATGGGTAGTCCAAACACCGAAGGTGATCAGTAACACTGGAGGTCAACCCCTAACCATAAATGGTCAGTCAGTCTCAGAAACCAGGATATGTCCAGAAGGCTCTTCCGAATGAAATCAGTACCTCAGTGTCTCTGTATTGATGCTGAGTTCTGCTGCAGAGAGAGAGAGAGAGAGAAAGAGAGAGAGAGAGAGAGACAATACACAATGGCTGCTGTCAAGGAAGCCAGTTCGAGAAATGTAATCATGGTGAAAATCACTGACACTGGATTAAAAGCTAACTCCCAAATTAAACCCTTCAAGCTTCCATCTATCTTTCACAGCTAGGCAATAATCCCAGATCAAGCAAGAAGAAAAAGCTTCAACGGAGTGGCATTCAGTCTGAATTTCATAATAGCACTTTCACACATCCCATGGGCTTCATTTGACCTCTGAGGTGGTCTTCTCCTGGAAAAAGTAGTATCTCTTCTGAGAATGAGTTGTCCTGCAAGAGTCTTCTTTAAAAAGCCATGCCATTCGGGAATGGTTTAAGATGAGGCCTAGGACTTGGACCAAGGAAGTCCAGGGTAATCATCACTCAGTTAGGGATTCACTGGGTAACTCTAGGACAGTGTTTCTCAGTGTTGAGGTGGTGGAATTGCTTCTGAAAGAGTATGAAAAGCAACGACCCCTATGAAGTAATACTGAAAAGATGTCTTAGGTGCAATTTAAAAGCAGGATGGTTTGATACATGTGCAAGTCACTCACACACACCTATCTACCCTTCAAAATCTTCAGTTGAGGGACTCTTGGAAGGAATCTTGCCGGTACATGAAATGAAGAATGTGGCTATCAAAACATGTCTTCTCACTGGGGAGAAAATTCTTTCCAAAGTAATTTGCAATCAGCTTTATAGTGTTGCCTTTTTTGGCTGAAGACAGAAATATTTAACACGTGGTTAGGGTGCCAGAGGCTAAAAAATATGAAGAACAATTGCAGGAATTGGGTATGTCTGGTTTAATGAAAAGAAGGACTAGGGGTGACATAATAGCAGTATTCCAGTATCTCAGGGGCTGCCACAAAGAAGAAGGAGCCAAGCTATTCTCCAAAGCACCTGAAGGCAGGACAAGAAATAACTGGCGGAAGATAATTTAAGTTTAAAGATCATTAAACTAAGGAGGAATTTCATGACAGTGAAAACAATCAGTTGAATAGCTGGCCTTCAGAGGTTGTGGGTGCTCCACCACTAGAGGTTTTTAAGAATTTGTCCAGAATGGTAGAGGATCTCCTGCTTGAGCAGGGGGTTGGACTAGAAGACCTCCAAGGTCCCTTCCAAATCTGTTATTCTCTTACAACTGGAATTGTAGGGACTGCTTTTATGCTGTGGTGGCTTTCATATGTATTTACTTAATCATGTTTTTCCCATTTAGGGTAAGCAGGCTTATGCAAAGCATAGACAAGGATTCAGAATTAATAAGGGAAATAAAATACAGGGAGTCCTTTACAACAGGTGCTTACAACAGTTGCTGGATAACTGTTCAAACTTACTACCAACCTGAAAAGAGAGACTTCTAGCCCAGATTTGAAATTCCAATGCCCCTTCTGCATTAATGTGACAGAATTTCACAGGTTTGGCAACATGGAAATATTTACAACTATTTGCACCATTCTGCAGTCACATAACTGCATTTTACAACAGTTTTGCTGAAAACTGGTGCTTTTTTGGCAAAACTGCACTTATATCAAACGATTGGTTCTCTTAATGACTTAGTATATGCTTAATAACCACACTGATTCGTTTAACAACTGCCATAAAAGGTCACAATACTGGGTCAATCGTTTGACTGAACTGTTTTATTGTTACTGGAGACTCTGGGATGGTTAGATGTCAAAAAGTACCTAGAAAGGCAGGAGAGAAGAAGAAACCTACCACTTTATACCAATACTATTCCCTACATAGGTGTTTCTCAACCTCCGCAATTTTAAGATCTGTGAACTGGGGCATTCTGGGAGTTGGAGTCCACTCAAAGCTGCTGAGGTTGAGAGAAACACCACCCTAAACCTCTCCATACCTCCAGTATCTTTCCATCTTTGCAAGCCATCCTTGCCTCTAGCTTGTCCACCCAGTTTTTCATACCCTGGTATCATTGTTCTTTAAGCTTCTCACCTCATTCTTTTTGAGGATTTCATTAATACCACCCAGTCAAGATTTCCTTGTTTCCCCCCACCCCCCCTTTCTCTCAACCCATAGGTTTTTCCTTTATGTCAGGACTGGGGAACAATGGCCCTCTTCTGACATGTAAACTTCAACTCCCAGAATTCCTGAGCCAGCCATGCTGGGAGTTGAAGTCCACACGTCATAAGAGGGCCCTCATTCCCCAGCCCTGCTTTATGTAATTGCCATACAATCCCGTCCTCATTTGTTTTTCCTATCCGACTATCCCCCCGCAATGCAATCTACTGCTTTCATACTAGTCATTTATGTATTCAACCCACGTTCATTCATCACCTATATTTCACGATCAATTCTTGTTTTTCCCTATATACTTTCTATTTATTGCATCCTCACCTCCATTTTATGTTACTCTGTATAATGGACAGAAGCGGACTCTTATTCACAGCTCTCTTTTTTTACTTCTTTTGGCAAAACATTTGAAAGGCTGCCGGCCACCCACTTCCCTTCTATTCACGTTAGTCCATTAAAATTTCTCCCTTGTCCTATTCCATCAAATGACACAATTTCATCTACTTTCTCTACTTAGTCACCTTTTATGTAAAACTTGACATTTTGATTCCTCGTTCTTCCTATATAAACCCCTGGAGAATATAATTAAAGGATATTACGCAAAAGTAAAGAAAAATCATTTAAAAAGAATAAACATAATAAATTATTGTGACTGACTCTTGGAAGAGAAATCAATACAATTGAAAGCTGGGTATTCCTAAAAGCTGCATTTTTGTGTAGGATTGTCATTTTTCACACCACTGATGCAGGACTATTAGTAAATCTTCTGATCTGCAGAAGTTAGCCAGTGATTGTGATTATATTATCTAAAAGTTTTTCCTTGCTGGAAAAAAAGCATGTTTTCCTTCATTTCAAGAAATCAAAGGGCTTCTGAATGCACACAACAAGCAAGAGAATATTTGCAGCTCAGGGTTGAACTGTGGCGTCCTTGGTGTTCTTTGAGCTTGAATGTTTTCTTGCAGATATTTCCTTACCAAACTAGGTAACATCACTAGCACTGATGATGTTACCTAATTTGGTAATAAAATGTCTACAAGAAAACAACCAAGTTCAGAGAGCACAAAGGACCTCACATAAACAAGGTCAATTTGGCAAGTTTATCTGTTCAACCCAATGGGCAAAAAGTTATCTTTGGTGCAATCATTAATGAACTTCAACTCCTTAATGTCAGAATACCATGAAATCAGGGAAGAGAGCAAAGACACAGCAGACATTTTTAGGATTTTGGATGTTCAACCAACTTGCTACTTTATTCCCTGCGTAACTCCACAATCTCTGCAATGGACACACAATCCCTAACTGTTCCATCTAAACTCCACCTGAGGTTTTTCATTTGTAGCTGGTCCCTGAGTGTGATAAACTCCCTCTTGTTAAATCTTGTGGTCTAGAAGGACTCCATGATTCACCTATTTTCAACTCACCAAATTAGGGATTTCGGTAGCTTAAGAACAGCTGGCTGCAGAATTTAGTAACACAGACACAAATACTAAATATGTGTCCCTCCCAATCAGAAATAGTTTTGCCTATGGGGACCGTTCCACTCAGAGGAGAAGAAAAGGTGTTTTGCTTTTGTTATCTTCTGCACTTATGGGAACCAGGAAATACTGAGTATAAAGGCTTACAAAAAAAAAACCCCTCAAAAATAAAAAAGTAAAAGTTGAACCTATATGCAGGATTATATGCAATCGTTGGAGTTATGATCTCAATTGGGATCAGAATTTCCATCGAAAGTCAGCACAGTCATAAACTGATTTCAATTTTACAACCATTTTTCCAGCTGTTGTGAAACCAATTCAGCTTCCCCAACTGGTGTTTTTTTTTAAATTGGAAATTAGTGAACAAGGTCCCAAATGGCAATCCTATGACTCCAGGACATTGCAACTGTTCCTAAATGCGAGCCTATTGCCAAGCACCTGAAAGCAATCACATGACTGCGGGGGTGATGTGGTAGTCCTAAAAATGTAAGCATCACTTTTTCTGAGGCTGTTATAACTCTGAACTGCTGTTAAACAAATGGTTGTAAGTTGAGGATTACACATAAGAACTATACGGTTCCTTAATAGCATTAGTGACTCTCCAAGAATTCTCAGAGGTATATTTATGACAAGCTTTAAAGAAAAGAAGAAGAAAAAAAGAATTGGAGCAGCCAGGAGCCACATCTCAGCTGATGAAAGATGAAGACAGAGCAAGTCCAAGAAAGGAGATACCACAAAAAGTTATACTGGAGGCCACTCTTCATAAGGAAGATACTAAACAGAAGAACAAACTTGGTGGACAAGTGTAACAATCAAAAGAAAGAAATACAGAATATTTCAGCACCGAGAACTCTGAATTCTCAGGCCTTCAGTGAAAGAAAGATACTGTGGTAGAGGAGTACAGGGAAATAGAATAGAATAGAATAACAGAGTTGGAAGGGACCTCGGAGGTCTTCTAGTCTAACCCCTTGCTCAGGCAGGAAACCCTATACCATTTCAGGCAAATGGTTGTCCAATCTTTTCTTAAAAACTTCCACTGATGGAGCCCCCACAACTTCTGGAGGCCAGTTGTTCCACTGGTTAATTGTTCTAACTGTCAGGAAATTCCTCCTTAGTTCTAGGTTGCTTCTCTCTTTGATTAGTTTCCATCCATTCCTTCGTGTCCTGCCTTCAGGTGCTTTGGAGAATAGCTTGGCTCCCTCTTCTTTGTAGAAGAAGATAAAGAGGACATTTGTGGTAGCTGTTGACTCACTATCGAAGCAAATATGTGTCCAGTAGCCCCAATGCCTTATGAAGTAGGTTTCTCTACTAGGAGCAAGTTTCAGAGATGTGACAGAACTACATTTCCAAGACTGATCTAGACCATTGGCAATTATCTGATAACCGGCCTCTGAGATAAGTTGGTTACACTTCCCAAGGACAAGTAAGAACATGTTTCTTCAAAACACGCAGAATT